TGGCACCCTCGCTCTCCGTTGTCCGGGCGCCGCTCATTGGCCACCGCCCCCGCAGGGCCCGCCCCGCGCGCACGGGCCTTGCCGCTGGGGCCAGCGGGCGCGCGCCTGGGCTGGGGTAGGGGGGCCGGAGGGGAGCGTCGAGGGGGTCATTCTCACTCCCTCGGTTCCAGAGACCCGGGTTCTATTCCAGGCCTCCCCACCGGAGCGAAGCCGGGCATCATGGAAAAGTGGTTGCCCCGCGGGGGACCTCAGCGTACGTTAAAAGGGGGTGCAGGTGACCCCAGCAGCTCCTCCGCCTAACTGCACCTGGTTGTTTTTTTAACCCCATGCTCTCAAGTGTATACCTTGCCTATAAATCCAGCCCCATCTCCCCACCGCTTTTTCATTCTGTACTCTCACAGACCCGGGCGCTCAGTGGGCCCTGGGACTAATCATATTGCCGTGAGGACGATGATGATGATGGTATGACGGTGACGGTGGTGGTGGTGGTGGTGACGGTATACTGAGTACTTGCTGCGTGGCACGCATGCCCCTTAACGCACTTGCTTTTCGAGCTACTCTGTGAAATACACCCATTTTACAGCCGAGGAAACTCAATCCATGACCTTCAGAGTCGCTGGCTCGTTCGTGGCAGAGCTGGATTCACACTGGGACAGAGGAACCTTACAATATCCTGTTGTCTCCTTGGGCCCGTTCCTTTTCACTCCCCAGACCACTGGAGTCAGCAAGATCTGGCCCTGCCAGTTATTGGTGGAGAACTTGGGCAATTGCCCTGACTTTCCCACGCTTCAGTTTTCCTGTTGCCAAAACGGGTGTGATGTGCCCTTATTCCAACAGTTGGTTCGAGGTTTAGCTGCTCATTATGATCTCAAACCAAAACCCATTGCCATTGAGTCGCTTCTGACTCCTAGGGACTCTGTAAGACAGAGTAGAACTGCCCCATAGGGTCTCCAAGGCTGTGAATCTTTGCAGAACGAGACTGCCTCATCTCTCTCCTGCAGAGCGCTGGTGGGTTCGAACCGCTGACCTGGTTAGCAACTGAATGCCTCAACCACTGTGCCACCAGAGCTGCTATCATGACCAGAGGAAAGCATGTCTCCTACATGATTCTTGTGGACTGACCACGTTAAGCGTCCTCCCTCCCCTCCTATCAAGGCGTCTTGGTGGTGCAACAGTTAAAGCTCAGCTGCTAGCCGGAAGGTTGGCAATTCCAGCCCATCAGCGGTTCCAAAGGGTAAAGGACTGTTGGTCAACTCCTTGAGAGTCACGCTTTGCCATCCAGTCCATTTCGATTCATAGCCACCCTGAAGGACAAAAGGTTTTCAAGGTGGCAATCTTTACGGGGGCCGGCTGCCACGTCTGTCTCCCACGGAGTGGCTGGTAACCACTGTAGCACTGGGGCGCCTCCCACAAATGCTACGGCCTAGGAAACCGTGGGGGGCACTTCTCTCTGTGACAGAGGGTCACAGCGATCAAAAATCGAGTCAGCAACACCCAGAAACAACAGCTCCGCAGATCACGTCTTGTGTGAGTAGACAGGGCGGTGATCTCATTTCGCACAGGCTTAACTGAGGCAGGGAACAGCTTGCCCAAGAACACAGAGAGAGTGACGGACCCAGGACTTGAACTCAAGATGTTTGACTCTAGAGCCCAGACTCTTGCGGTCAGATGCATTTCCTCACTGACGGCTCGGGGTCAAGCGTCACCTGGAGGAACGGCCTTCTTCCACTCCTGGAGCCCCTCCCCACTTCTGCCCCCAGGAAAGGGGGCAAGAACGCTTCTGAAAGCATTCGGGGGCTGTCTAAGCTGGTGCACCATAATTTCCATCTTTTGCCTACAGCACGGCTAGACTTGTGCATGTGCGTGAGATGGCCTCTGAGCCTAAGTCAAGAGACCGGATCCCGGGATGGGCAAGGTGTTGGGGCACACAGGGGCGCCCCAGACCCTACCCGCACTGACGCTGCCCCCTCTCTCCTCCTAGCCCGGCTCCGGTGCCCAGACCCAAGCCCCCCACTGCTCAATGGACACCCCCAGGCCAGACCCGTTGCCTTCGCCTTTGCCTAAGGAGGAAGACAGACCTCTGGCCTTCTCTCCTCCGGTTCCCGCCGGCCGCCGCGGCCGCCGTCCTGCGGGGGGCGCCTCGTCGCAGCCGAAGCTCAAGGCCGCCTCCCTCCCTCGGAAGCGGGGCCGACCCTCCAGGTCCGGGCAGGAGGCCCTGCTACCCCAGGGCCTGTCGTCGCCGGCCGGCAGTGGCGGAGGCAGCGACCTCTTGCTGATCGATGACCAGGGCGTGCCCTACACCGTGTCTGAGGGGACGGCGGCAGCGCGTGGGCCCGAGGGCACGGGCGCCAAGAAGGCCCCGCACTTTTGCGCCGTCTGCCTGCGCGCCTTCCCTTACCTGTCCGACCTGCAGCGCCACAGCATCTCCCACTCGGAGCTGAAGCCCCACGAGTGCAAGGATTGCGGCAAGACCTTCAAGCGCTCCAGCCACCTGCGGCGCCACTGCAACATCCATGCGGGCCTGCGGCCCTTCCGCTGCCCGCTCTGCCCCCGGCGCTTCCGCGAGGCGGGCGAGCTGGCGCACCACCAGCGCGTGCACTCGGGGGAGCGCCCCTACCAGTGCCCCGTCTGCCGGCTGCGCTTCACCGAGGCCAACACACTGCGGCGCCATGCCAAGCGGAAGCACCCCGACGCCCTGGGGGAAGCCCTGTGTCCCCCGGACCCCGGGCCTGAGCCTCCGTGGGACGACCGGGGCATCCCGGCCACACCGGAGGCGAACGAGGAGGGGCCGGAGGAGAGAGAGCCCGCCTGACCCACGGCCCTGGCCACCCCACCCCAGGCCAAGTTTAGAGCCGGTGCTGGAGCTGGGCCGGGGGGCCGGGACACCTTCATTTCCGGTGGTCTTCCCGTCGGGGGAGGGTGAGGACCTACACTTCCGGGTCCTGCTGCCTTGGGCCTTGCTCCCCCAGACTGACGGGCCCCTGGAGGCAGGGGTCGCCAAAATAAATCTCTGCCCGTTGGCTTCCTGTGTGTGCTTAGTGCCCGAGCGGGGGCGTGCTGTCCCTTCGCCTCGCCAACGCCCCTCCACGTGGAAGCCACCCGGAAGCTAGTGCGTGGAGTCCGCCAGACCCCCTCCACGTGCCTCATTAATGCAACGCCAGAGTGGCTCGGGGCAGACCTGTGCGCCCACTATGGCCCTCACATCCCAAAGCGCTCCCAGCGACTATGCATTCGAAGCCTGCCCTGCTAAACCAAGCTTCCGCCACTCCAGCCACACTCCCGGAAACTGCAGCCGCCACCTGGTCCCAGTTTCCTAGTCCTGGGGACCCACTGGATTCCGGTGGGACAAACAACTTGGACAGGATTTACAGACCAGCCACTCCTGGGAAGGAAGATGGGGCAATCTACTTCCATAGTGACACTGCCTTGGATACCCAAGGAGGGTCGCTATGAGTCCCAATCGACTGGTGGGCAGTGAGAGGAACACAAGGGTGTGGCTGGGAGGAAGGGCGGGACTAAGGAAGCAGGAGGTGGGGCTGAGACAGGGGCGAAGCTTATTGGGCAGGAAGGTGAAAATGATGGGCGGGGCTTAGAGAAAACGCTGGTAACTGGGGTGGGGCTTAGAGCGTTTAGAGGTGGGAGGGGAGGAAAGGGGCAGGACAGACGGATTAAGGAGCCGAGGTGGCGCAGCGGTGAAGCACTCAGCTGCAAAGGGAAAGGTGGTCAGTTCAAATCCTCCAGCTGCGCAGCGGGAGAAAGATGTGGCAGTCCACGACCCTAACGCTTGCAGCCCCGAAAACCCTCCGGCAAAGTTCTGTGCTGCCTATTGTTGTTGTTGTTGTTATGTGCCGTGGAGTCGGCCCCGACTCATAGCGACCCCTCCTTGGGTTTCCGAGGCAGTATCACTACGGAAGTAGGATTGCCCAACCTTCCTTCCGAGGAGTGGCTGGTGGGTTTGAACCGCCAGCTGTCTGGTTAGCAGGCAAGTGTGTTAGCCACTATGCTACCTTAGAGCCACTAAAAGTCGGAAGGGACTCAACTGCACTGTTTCTTTCATTGTTTTTTGGTTAGATCGCCTAAAGGGTAAAGTTTATGTGCCGGGCAGGGCTTCAAGGAGAGATTGCAGGGTTGAGAGATTTTAGAAGAGGTGGGACTTAACGGTTAGGAGGGGCCCAAGGGGTTGTATCCTGGCGGTTATTCAGCTATGGGGAGGGGAGGAGGTCCGAGTTCTTTAAAGGAGGGTCCCTGAGAGAAGGGGAGGGGCTGATAAGACCAAGGCTTGCTGCTTGGGGTTGGGTGAGTGGGGGTGAAACATCTAGTGTAAAGTGTGATCAACGGTGCTCCCGGGTCACCTGAAGGGTGTGTAAAAACACCCACCGCTAGACACGCTCCCCCGCCTTCTAAGTCAGTAGGCCTGGGGGAGGGGCCAAAGAATTAGCATTTTCACAGGTTGCCAGGCAATGCTGCTGCGTTGCTGCGGGTTGCCCAACATGCTCTGAGAGCCACTGATGGAAGGCATCGGGTTAGCCAGACTTGAAGAGGACGTAAAAGGAAAGATATCCTTGCTGGTGTCAGAAGGATCTTGACTGAAAGGAGGGAACACCGGAAAGATGTTCCGTTGTGTTTACTGACTATGCAAAGGCATTTGACAAATTATGACTAACATAGCGAAGAATGGGAATTTCAGAACCTTCACTGTGCTCATGAAGAACGTGTACATAGACCAAGATGCCATCGTTCAAACAGAACAAGGGAACACTGTGAAGTTTAAAATTAGGACAGATGTGCGTCAGGGTTGTATCCTTTCACCATCCTTCATTAATCTGTATATGGAACAAATAATCTGAGAAGTGGACTGTAGGAAGAAGAACACAGCACCAGGATTGGAGGAAGTCGCATTAACAGCCTGTGATACGCACATGACCCAATCTTGCTTGCTGAAAGGCAAGGTGACTTGAAACACTTACTGATGAAGATCAAAGACTATAGCTTTCAGTATGGATTATGCTGAGACGTAAAACAAAAATCTTCACAACTGGACCAATCAGTAACATCATGGTAAATGGAGAAAAGATGGAAGTTGTCAAGGATTTAATTTTGCTTGGATCCACAATCAATGCCATAGAAACAGTCAGGAAATTAAACAACATATTGCATTGGGCAAATCTGCAAAAGACCTCTTCAAATTGTTAAAAGCAAAAATGTTACTTTGAGGACTAAAATGCACCTGACCCAAGATATTTTCAATCGCCTCATATTCATGTGAAAGCTGGACAGTGAATAAGAAGAGTTGTTGCCTTTGAATTATGGTTGTTGTTACATGCCATCAAGTCAGACCCGACTCACAGTGACCCCCTCCTTGGGTTTCCGAGGCAGTATCACTACAGAAGTAGATTGCCCAACCTTCCTCCCGAGGACTGGCTGCTGTATTTGAACCGCCAGCCTTCTGCTTAGCAGGCAAATGCCTTAGGCACTGCACAACCAGAGCTCCCTTTGAATTATGGTATTGGTGGACAATACTGAATATATCACAGACTACCAGGTCTGGTTGCCAGAATGCTCCTTAGAAGCAATGGAGGTGAGACTGTCTCATGTACTTTGAACATATTATCAGGAGGGACCAGTCCCTGGTAAAGTAGAAAAAGCGGTAGAGTCTGCGCCTCCAGGGCTGGATTGACACACTGGCTGCCACAATGGTCCCAAGCATAGCGCTGACTGTGAAGCTGGCATAGGACCACGCGGTGTTGCGTTCAGTTGTACAAGGGGTCGCTGAGCGGAACGGAGTGGAAGGCACCTAACCACATAAGGGTACGACGCAGAACTATGCCACAACAGTTATGGAAGGGGTGGGACTTAAGTGCTATAGGGCGTAGGGGTGGGGCTTAAACGCAGAGGGTGTGTCCCCAAGGAAGCCACGTGAGAGGCGGGGCTTAAGGGAAAGAGGAGGGGTCAGAGGTGGGGCTTAGGAGGAGAAAATGGCGTTCTTGCGGGGAGGGGCCTGAACTTGGGGGAAAAGGGACAGAGGAATGTAGTGGGGACGGGACGAGGAGGATGTGCTTTGAGGCAGTGGGCGGACTTATAATAATTAAACTCTGATGTAGGCGTGGTCCAGAGTCGGGGGCGGGCTTAACTGTGAGACGTGATACAAGGGGTGTGGCTTAACCGAATGTGCAGAGCGTGTGGGCGGTGCCCTGAGCGGAGGGCGCACACAGCGCAAGCGCACCTCGCTCAGCTCGTCCAGCGGAAGCGACCTAGGCTTTCCCTCGCTCGCGTCCCCGAGCCAGTGCGCACGCGCACTTCACCCTCCTCGCCGCCGCCGCTGCTGCCGCCGCCGCCGCCGCCGCCGCCTCCTCTTTCCGCTCCTCCACGCCGGCGCTCGGGGACGGACGCGACTTCCGCTTCCGGGCGGGCAGGCAGGAGAGCGGCGCGGGGCTGCCGAGGAGGGGGAGGGGGCGGCACTTCCGGTCGGGCTCTCGGGTCTCCCCGGAGCGGCGGCGCCTCCTCCGCCTACTTGGCCTCCTCCCGGCGGAGACCCCGGCGCCGGTGAGTGACGGGGCGCGCGGCCCGCAGCCCCGGATGCAGCGGGGGCGGGGGGCCCCGCCCTGGCCCGCTCTGGTCCCTGGAACGTCCCCAGGCAGTATTTCTCCCGCCGGGTCCCTGCCAGAGGGCCCCCCAATTCCGCCCCTCGTGAGACCACTCCAGACATCTCCCCGTTAACATTCCCTGAGGGACAGCTGCCAAAACGCTTTCATCCGTGCGCTCCCGTCAGCTGCTGCCAGGGCCCCCTGGTGCGCCTTCCACATGACCCCCATCACGGCTTCTGCAGGACAGCCCCCGGGTGCCCCCTGCCGTGACCTCCGGCGCAAGCCGTTGCCAGTGGAACCCCCTAGTGTGCACCGTAGGATCGTCTCCAGCGGGCTTTGCACGAGAGCGTTCCTGCAGAACCTGCCCCTGTTACTGTGTCCGCACACTCGCCGGCCCCCCGAACTCTCACCGGCTCCCCCAGAATGCCCTGTGATGGTGTGAGAATCATTTTAATTCAGAGCAGCGCCAAGAATCTCTTTTTTTCCCTCCTGCTTGGAGCACCTCTTTAACTCCGATGAAAGTCCCCCTTTCAGCCCCCACCTTCCGCCATAGGCAGCCCCCCTAGAGTTCAGTTCTGGCGCCCGCACCTCTCCCTTTCAGGTAGACACGCTGAGATGCTCCTGCCCCGCCTCCCACCCCGCCCGCGGTTGGTCCCACTGAAGCTTGCCCCCTCTGACACACTCAGCTCTTGGCCTGACCTGCACCGGCCCGCCCAGGGGTCACCGCGTCATCCTGGTCTCGGGAGGCCACCAGGGTGACCTCCTCTGCCCGTCCATCCGTGTTCCTCTTTGAACAGTCTCTGTACTCGGGTCAGGGGCAGCAGCTTGAAGGAGAGACGTGCACAGGGTCTTAGCTCTTGTGGGGTTTTGCAGCCTGATTGAAGGAGCCCTCGTGGTGGCACAGTGGTTAACCACTCAATTGCTATCCGACAGGTGGGCAGTTGGAACCCACCCAGGAGTTCTGTAGAAGCGTCTGGCGATCTGTCCTGTGCAGATCACGGCCTGCAGAGCCCCAGGGGGCAGTCCTGCTCTGTCACATGGACTTGCTGTGAGTCTGAAATTGACAGCATGGCCTCAGTGCCCACAACACAGTCTGGGTGAGCAGACAGTTAAGAAGTAAACAGAAAACAAGACAGATGATCTTCACTGGGTTCTCTGAGACAGCCTCATTTTTTGGGGGTGGCTACTTCAGAAGCCTGGGGGCACACTGCTTAAAGTGCTTGTCCGC